ATTAACCGCTGTTTGAAGAGTTATCAGGGCGTAGTGGTAGAGGCTTGAATTTTGGCACCATAACAAACATGATTATTCTCATCTCCATAAATACGGTCATTCTCATCTCATAACAAATATGATAATTCTTATTTCCTACATCTAGGAAATATAAAGTTTCTTCATAACAAACATTGAGAACTTTATTTCTCCAGGGACTAAAGTAGATAATGCCCTGCCTCGTCAGTATAAGTTTATATTCTTATATAATTGATCAGTATAAGAAGTCAGTAAATGGATCCTGGCTTAGGGATGTTTGTGTGTTTCAAGAGTATTTCTGGTATAGTGTTTTGTAGGGTGTTGTATAAGCATAGAGCTTACATGCACCACTTGGGACAAATTTCTCCTTATTAAGGAAAGAGAGTTATCTGAGATGGCATTAAATGAGCGAAATCTATTTATTGTCTCTAAGCTCAAGTGGAATATGAAGGTACGTCTTAATGAACAAAGCACTCCTTTCACATCTGGCTATCCCAGGGAAAGCAGGAAAAAATTAGAAATTGTTTTGAAAACCCTGGTACCTACCTTTTGAACTGGGATGCTGTTCCCAAAGTAAGGAGTATTGAGTTGAGTGGCTTCTTTTGGTTAGTTAAGATTCATTCATCTATCAGTTCATCAAAAAATACTGAGCATCTGCCGTGAGCCAGGCACTATTCCTGTTTGGGAAACATTGGTGAACAAAGACCAAGATCCCTGCTCTTGTGGGACTTAAGATGTTCTGAGCTACTGGCTCCTATGTTCTAGTGCAGTCACTTTACTTACTAAAACTGGAGAAAGATTTTGTGAAACAAACATAGCCAAAAGCTACAAATAATTTAAATGTTATATAAAAATATATGCAATTTCAAAGAAATGGCATTTAAAGCAGTTTTAAGAAGGCTAAAGATAATATTATTGTTAGGCCCTTATAAGATGAGCTTATATAGAAGCTCTTCAACGATACTGACTTAGTAATACTCAGGTTCCAGGTTTTGGTGAGCTAACTTCAGGTTATGTGTTTGCTATACTGAGAAATTAAACATCTTACTTGACTAATTGAAAAAAAGAACCCTACTTAGGCAGTTTTAAACTTATTTATTAAATTTATATTGGGTATACAAAGAATCTAAAGGCACCTAAAAGGCAGAAAGCTGTCAAACACCTATTATCAAACTGTGCAAATTCTGTATTTCTTGATGTCATTATACCACTTGAACACCCTAGTGTTGGTGTCTCTTTGCAGCCTTTCCCCGTTTCTTGTACGTGAATGAAGCAGTCTTGATATTCTTCTGCTATTATGACTGCTTGTTGGACTCACTGCCTAGTAGACTCTCTAGTGACTGTTTGGAGAGGCAGCGAGGGCCGAGGCGGGGGCACATGAAGGCCTGGAGTCAGGTTCAGGCTCCAGAATAGAAATAAAATGCCCATCTTTGCCCCTTTTTAATAACTAACTTAATTTTCTAATTCCTCCCATCCCAAAAGACACATACCTGCCCTAATCTTCTAGTAAATCCCATCCTTTTCTTATGTAACTATCAAATACTCCTTTCCCCAAACCTTTTTTTTTTAAGTGCCACCTAACACATTCATGGGCTGTTTCCCTATGCCAGCGGGTCTATGATTTATGAATTTACTCATTTTACTATGAGTTAGCAAGTGAAATTAGGAAGATTAACCCAGTCCCTAAAGAAGTCCCACAGAAATAAAATGATCATGTTGTATCAAGAACAAGTATAATTTACGTTTTCATCATTTGGGGTTATTCACCCCTTTGTTTCCCCTGCACTGGTGTGTGCTGCTGGCTGCAGATGTATATGTGCATAGCTCAGGTTGACTGGGGGTTGCAGGACTTAACATTGTAGCATTTGTGCTTCTCCTTAAAACTCCACAGACGCCAGGTTTTAGCTAATATGCAAGTGGCCAGATATTCTATCCCGAGTGGGCACAGTCTGGTAGTATGTGGGGGAAGAACCTGGGACTAAGAGTTCTGCATTGTAGCCCACTGTTGGGTCTCAGTTTCACTTGTGAAAGAGTGGGATTAAATTAAATATTTCTGATGTCTCTTACAGTTCTAAAATGTCAGTAATACAGATGGATTAACACTGAGTCCTATAGGAAAGCAAATTACTTGGTGACAAACAACTTTGTACCTTCTCTATGGTTAGAAAACCATACGCTAACCCTAAACTTGCAGACCAGGGGTTTCTGGCATTGAAAGTAAATGCCATTCCACACACACATGAACCAGTCAGGATCTGTGGTTTACCAGCTGGTCTAACTCAGACCCTGGTGTGGCAGCAGTAGGTTCAGCTCCCCAAACAGATGTCAAGGCTTTGTGAAAATAACCTCTCTTCTCATTAAAGGAGATTAGAACCCCTCCTAGCAAAGGGCATGTTTAGTGATTCAATTCAACAATATTTACTGAACACTTCCAACTGTAAAAGAATAGTGTTCGCTTCTAGGGGACTAGAAATGTGCCTGCCCATCCTCTCACCTTAAAGGATGAACTCCTTACAGGATTCTTACCTTAATCATGGTGGTAACCCCACCTGACACCTTGCATAGGACCTGTCTCATAGTAGGCGTTAGAAATGGACGTGAACCAACTAGACATGGTCCCTGTGCTCAATAGAGTGCCCAACCCAGTGATGTAAGAGCAAACCTTACTTGTTTTAAAAAAAAAAAAGTCATATTTCACAGTGTTTTTTGATACATATATTTATTACACTGTAAAAAGCAACATTACCTGATTTCATTTAAAATAAATATTTCCCAATTTCAGAATACTTACAACTTATAGTTTTAAGATTAGATTCACTTTGGGAGGTTCTGGAAGCAAATACATTCATAGCTATATAATCCCCAGGAAGAATCTAAACCCAGCGTCAGGTCATTCAGTCCTTGCCAGACAGACAACAGCATCACATGGTTGACAGCTGATCCAGCTCGCAGCTAAAGGGCAGCGTGGGGCAGCAGTGGGGACAGCACAGTACACCCAAAGATGAGATCATCAGAACTGGGACCAGCAAAAACAACAATGTTTACAGAGCTTTAAATAAACATGACCATATAGAGCTCTCACGATACAAAAACGCACATATAATCCTCAGGCCAGAACAAAAAGATCTTTGGAGTATACTGGTGGCAGAGTTAACCGCACAGTCCAAAGCATTTAAACCAAGTGTGCTCATTATCACCAGCCCACAGCAAGCAGCCAGAGCAGGAACTGGCAGTCATAAATAACCTCATGGGTAAATAAGGACACATTTAACTAAACCACAAAGATTTAAAAAATAGTTCTGATCTGAGAAAAGATGAAAACTCTCATTGTTCCCAAATAATAGTTAGAACCTCTTTTTATTAGAGAAAAGCCTTAAAATCATTGGTAATCTTCAAGCCACACAATTGAACCGTCTTAATGTTTCATTTTAGTCACAAAAATGCAAGCTGCTATTTGATCGGTTATTTCAATTGATTTCAATTAAAGAGTGTCTACTGCATAATATCTTTGGGGATAATGCTGTTCCTCTTCAGCATTTTGCAAATACTACCTGTCTACATGGCTTGATAGACTGATCCATGGGGCAGGGACACAGCAGCAGGGCTGGTCGCTCACCCACCATATTCCCCACAGAAACACACACACGGGAAAGGCTTTGTGCCTGATACAGCTCAGTTAAGGAATACTGGCCATGGTTCCACCAAAGGAGGTGCTGTCTAGGTAACAGGAGGGCAATGGCTGAAGCCACTGATTTAGACTGGAAGCAAAAATCAGAACACTTGGAGGCTGCTAGAGTGAGAAAGGGGCCATAGGCATGACAAAGCTTGGAAGCAGCAGTGTGTGCTTACAGAAAAGAAAACAAAGGAATTCGCTATATTACTATGACAACTCACATTCGTGTAGTTGAGGATTCTGCTTGTTCCACTAAACACAGCTTCAGAGAAGTCCATTTGTGTGTGTGTGTGCCTATGTGTGCTTCATATCAGAAATCCTCAGTAACATACCCCTTTACCTCAGAGGTATGACAGGAAGAAGTATATGTACAGTTCCTCCCCAAGACAAATGATGGGTCTCAATTTAAAATGAAACGGCCTTTTCTTATTATTAAATTATAGAGCCACCAAAAATTACACAATAGAGAATCGGGAGAAAACTGGAGTGATTTAGTGGTCCTCCAAATAGAACAAACAGCTTGAGGCAGACCTTTAATGCCAGGTTTAAAAACAAATATTATTTGTAGCAGTTCCCATACCATCATGATAACTTTGGTAGCCTAGAGCACTTCTGAATTTATCTTATCTTTATCCTGGAAGCTGAAAAATATCTTCCTAAAGATCTGCAGTAGCACTTGCCTTCCTTCTTTAGGCTGATGCATTTGACTGATTTGTACTCAGTAATTTGTCTCTGCTTCATCTACTGTGACAAACAGCATAGTTGTAACTCAGATGCCAGAAATACAAGGCCTTTTCTGACTTACTGTGGAGAACATGAAAACTGCATAGTATGCCAGCACCCACTTCCCCAACTAAAGGACAGAGGCAAATAGCTCAAGTCTGGGAAGAGAGGCTGGACGAAGGGGATATAGAAAAAGGAAATTTTTTTCAAAAGTATTATAACTACATTCACACATATATTTTGGTCACCAAACATATCTTAAACAGATTCCCTGATAAAGTCTAATCAGAATTGGTCTATCCTATGGACAGTTGTTAACTATTATAATTTTTAAAGAGTCACATCATGAAGCTAGAGTGTGGGAGACATTTTCAACACACGAGCATACAGTTGTTCAAACACTCAAACTAAATCTATATTTGAAGTCATGAAAATCACACTATTTTGCTTCTAAAGACAGCCTTGACCCATCTGGACAGACTGCACAACAGAGCTTAATTTGTAAATGCATATCAGCAGATCATCACTATAAGTTGAAAATTCACAAAACACACAAAAATAAGTGATGAAGGTCACACAGTTAAGCTAGCATTGGTAACTATTTCTTTTACATCAAATTATACAATGCACGAGGTAAATATTGCTCACATTATGGAGGGAGATTTTTTTATTTCTATTTTTTCCCAAAGAGATCAGATTTGTCCTGTGCCTACAATGAAGAAAACTCCAGTAACACTGAAATGACAAATGTTGTAAAATATACATCACTACCAGATAGAAATACACACGTTCTTCATAATAATTTTCCAGAATTAAATAGGTAAGTGATTTAAATCTTGGGATTAAGACCGTTATAACAATCCGTCCAGATTCTTATGGACGGTTTGATTTTCCTTTCCATTGTCGGAGTCTCCTTGAGGCGTGTACTGGACTTGGTATTCCTGGAGGATTTTAAATACATCGTGGTGTCCAAAGTGCAGTGCTTCATCCATGGGAGTGTTATTCCACCTAAACAAGTAGCACAGCATGGACTGGGACGTTAGGTAATTTCTGTACAAAGATGATAATCCAGCATTCTTCGATTTTAAATTTGGCCATTTAAGCACTATTATCAGTAAAAATTAATTGAAGAAATGCAGAAAGGGATTTATAATTCAAAAAGTGGTCTCAGAGACAACTTGGGATATGGGGAAGAAGAGAAAAACATCTTTTGCAAAAGGATCCTGTTTACATATCTAAGTGCTTATGGAGGGGAAGGTCTCATGTTGATGGGTACAATAGACTCCTCTAGCATTCCTGAATTTTAACTTAATGACAAGCTCAAAGGATCTCTCTTTACAAAAAAAGTTCAAAGAAAGTTCAGGTATATAACATCCATCCCCCTAGCCTTTGATAGAAAATTTGTGTTCCTGTCAATTCCAAATCGCAATAAATCTCAGAAGTCTGGAAATAACCACGACCTCATTAGGGCTCACACACACACTGGAGGAGCAAGATCGGCCCAGAGGAATTGACATTGTCATCATCTCTGGTAAGGATGGGAATCCAGGGCTCCAAGGGACCACTACACAACCAGAATAATAACAACCCTTTCCACAGTGTCTTTCTGGGGCTGTGCTATTTAGAGTGATACAGATGAAGACTGAAGAGAAGAAGAAATGAAGAGTTGCCAGCAGTAGTTAATCAGCTAGCTAGGCCTTTGAAAGAGGAGACTAGTTAGGAGTCTGTGAGCACCATGAGCCTCCCAGCCCAGTGAATGACTGTGATAACCGGGTCCCTGATACTTCACCCACCATGGAGCCTCTCCCGTCCTCTCTCTCTACTCTTGTCACTTCACTTCGTGGCTGCCAGGCTCCCTGACTCCACTTTATCATGTGGCACTTGCACCTTCTGGTTTTCCATCTTTCCCTTCTTTCCTTTCCCTCTCTGTCCTTAACCTTTTTCCTTCTTAATGGGGTCACCATATGGAACTAAAAGGTTTTAAAAACAGTGTCACTTAAAAAATGTTTTTGGATAAAGTTTGGTAGCCTGTTCTTAATTTTTAAAATCAGGTAAGTAACATTTTACGTGTATCTTTGTGTTTCTCAAAAAACAGCTGAATTATGTTGCCTTTTACTTCTATATTGGCCTTCATTAATTTTGGGAATCAGTGGCCCTGAATCGGGAGGTGGGGGCACTTTTCATCATCTACAGCATGTAATTATCTGCCCTTTTGGAAAAAGTGAATGTTAACTGCAAATTACCTTTTTTACATCTCTTCTTCCATGAAATAACACAAAATACCAACTTTAAAGAATACACTAAATACACTCAAATACACTCAAGCCTATTTTACAATTTGAGGTGACACTGATTCTGTGAAATGGAGAAAAGAATTGTCTTGGTCTAGCTTACACTCTGGAATAGTTGAATACCCAGTTACCAAGTTAGTTGCTGAGCTAACTTTTGCCTGTCAGATGGGTGCTTCACTTCCACATTCCTAGAGGCCAATTTAGGGCAAAAAACAAGACATTTCAATCTTTAAATATACAAAGCACAGTAAATATTTCCAGCATGTAGTGTTTAGTTGGGATTATAAACACGGGGGTGGGTGGGTGGGAGGAACGACACTCTTCAGTTTCTTGCTCTAGAAAGGGCTGGTATGGGCATTACATTTGGAGATAAAAGGGAGGATCATCACCCCACCATGAGGTTGTAGAATACTGCCAACAAAGGTCATTTTAATCGTGATGCTTTTCAACAACTATAAAAATAAAGTTGGATAACCAAAGTGTTACCACACTTGCAAAAATGCTAACAATTTACAGACACTGACGTCACAGCCTTTCTGCATTTCTTGCAAGCTGAACTAATAAAACCCGGACCTCTAATTTAAAAAAAATAGTAAAATAGTAAAACCTTATTAGACAGAAGGATCTGATAGCTAGAGAATAATCAATTTGCTCCAAACTTACTTAATAGAGTCCTCAAATATCCAATCCAAACTCCTAATCATACATATTAAACCTCTCCAAGTATTTTTTTCTTTCCATTCTTCTAAAGCTTTATTTCTCATCACTCCCTGACTCATCAGTTATATAACTCGTGTTACATAACGGCAAGTGCATGAGTACAGAATTGACTTTGAGTATACATGTGTATATCGAAGCTGCACCCTTATCCCCCTTGACTGTACACTTTGTGGACAGCATTTACTGCAGGGTGAATGGCAGTTTGCCATGTGGCCCCGAGGGAGAGGAGAGGAGCAGAGTATGTTCCAGGCAGATTTCTCCCACCGGATAGAGTGCCCTTCTCTCCCCTCTGGGCCTTCAAATCTCATCTCTTCCCCAAAGCACTGGTTAAAATGCAGCTTACAGGAAGCCTTCTAAAACGGACTCCACCCAAATCCAGGAATTTCAACAAACTCCAATATATTCATTTTAGAGTTCTGTAACAGTAATTTTCTTACACATTTTTAAGATGCTTCTGTAAATGTTTATCTCATCTACCCTGTGAAAAAGCCTCATGAGGACAAAAGTCCTATTTTCTCTTTCCAAACACAAAGAATTATTTTCTTCGTACACTGTATTGACTAACCTTCAGACTAACCTGAGAAATGCTACATAAGAGACCATTCTTAGATAAGAAATAGGATATGGGAGACAGAACGATCTACCTAGCAGAAACAAGGTTCTGTTTGTTGCCTTTATAAGGCATCACAGCAAGTTCAAGAATGTCTCCAATATAAACAGAGTGGATTTGAACAGACCATCACTTGAATATTATAGCCCTGTTTAATAAAATACTGACTGGCCAATTATATGTTAGAAGGTAACACAAGTGCTCACCTGTCTTTGGGGAAAGGATTTACTTTGCAGGCTTCCAGCAAAAATTTAACAACTTCAACATGACCTATATCCAAAACAAAAACAAGCAGATTTTATTACTGAGTAGAAATTGTCTGAAAAAAAAAATAGATGAGTGGTTTATATATTACCCTCTGCAGCAGCTACATGCAGTGCTGTTCTAGAGTCATAGTCCCGCTGTTCCATGTCCATGGCTGACAAAGCAAATCTGAAAATTTGTAAGCATAGCTATTCGTTATATATAAAATTTAACTCACACTTGTAACAGTTACTCTATCAGTTTAGTCTAAGGTCCTAGGAGATGAGATGGGCCATCCTTCACCAGGCTCACTAACGGGAACCTGAGACTCAGTTCAGCCAGTGCACAGGCGTCTCTGATAAATGCCACTGCACCTCTCTTCCAGGGCTTTGCTCCTTTTGGTTAAGAGGAAACGTTCACCACCTCTCACAGAATTAAGCCTCATTACGTTTTGTTCAAAACTCAAGAACAGTGGCACAACTATACCAAAGTTTATGCCTCAGAAGGGCAAGAAACTGATACCTATCCTCAAGTTAAATAGTTTCACTAAGACTTCCATTCTTCAATATTTTACAGTCTACAGTTTACAAGTACTAATCAGACTTTATTTTTAAAAAATTCTTTTAAGTGCACATTTTTCACTTGAGATATAATTGACATATAACATTGTGTAAGTTTAAGGAGCACAAGGTGTTGATTTGATACATTTATGTATTGCAATATGATAACCACCATAGCGCTAGCTAACACCTCTATCACATTACATAATTATCATTTCTTTCTTGTGGTGAGAACAATTAAGATCTAGTCTCTTAGCCACTTTGAAGTTTCTAATAGAGTATTGTTGATACAAGTTCTAAGCAGACTTTAAAACAGATGGAAATTAAGCATAGACATTTTTCCACCTTAAAGTTCAGTTGCAACTATATAAGAGACCTTATGTTAAGAATATAGCACTATGTCACTTTTCTAACCCTGATGATCTGCAGAACAAGGTTTTGTTTGTTGCCTTTATAAGGGATCACAGCAAGTTCAAGAATGTCTCCAATATAAACAGAGTGGCGAATGCCCCTATTTGCTTGCTCTCCTCACCTCCAAAGATGGGGAGTGGAGGGTAGATGGGGATTGAGAAGGCATTGCTCAATTCCAAGAAAACACTAATACTAATTAGCCAGATTAGTTGGACAGTTACCAGCTGATATTGAGAAAACAGATGTCTAGGCTTTTATAGGAGGTAGAAAACGACAAGACGGCACAGCAAGCCTACGGCACTGGAAGTAGGGATTTAATATAAATTTGTTTGGGTCATTTTTATTAGAGGGAGATGGAAGACTTTAGCCTTAAAATGGCTATTTGCCCAGAAGCGACTTCATAAACATCTGCAAACCATATGCTAATCCACCCTGTTAACATACCTTCGAAGTGCAGACACATCCCCAGTGTACGCCGCAAACAAAAGGTTTATCACTGACTTTACCTGTGAAGAAAAGAAAGGTCAGGCATCCACAGGGGAAATAAACCCACAGAATGTACAATGTCACCAGTAAGTGCTTTCCGTGCGCTTTGAACACTTCAGCTGGGTTGCACGCAAAAAGTTATCACAAGTACACTTCTATAACCAAAGAGAATGCCCACGTGTGATATTTTTCTTTTCTAATAGAGGATTATGAGGGAATATTCAACACTAAAGACACATGAGGGAAGGAATGGAATGATGATATCAACTGGCACAAAAGAATAGAAACTCGTGACCTGTGAAACACACATAGTTGGGGCAGCTGAGAATTGTTTATGACCTCTCTCATTTGGTATGTCTCAGTTCTGCGAGCTGACTTGTATGCTGATAAAACTCACATCACATCATTATTAAAAACTAAATCATGCTATATAAATGTCTAATCCCTGCCAGCAATCACTGTCACCTCACCCATCACCAATCACTGGCTTCTTTGGAAATCTTAAGAGACAACATTCAGTATTAATCATCTTAAACTTAAGAATAGGACTATACTTCACCGGGAAGATGGTCTTCAGTTCAATGCCCAGGCAGTACAATTTGGGGCATTCTCAGAGCCTATGACATTGTCTCTGCTCAAAAGGTGGGTAAACTCCCCAAATATTGAGTCACTGCTATTGAGTGCCAAGACTTCAAAGTGTGTCTTCTTTTGACAATTATCCACTTTTTTGTCCTTATAATTAAGGATAAGGCTACTTATTCTAAAGGTCATGGGACTTTAGTCTGTTTCATAAAGACTTTATCCAACCCTGTTTTTGAGAAACTGAACTATTGATCATACACTGTTTGTAAATACTTCATAAAAGCCCAATTTTATCTCATACTTTGCAACATCAACATTCACATTGATGATCCCACTGATATTGGACTCAATAGTATCCACTATCCCACAAACCCAGCTATCCACGAACAAAGCCACAGCCCTGTTTGCTGTGCTTTCAAGATCTTAAACTGGACATTCCCCCTTTCTACCGCGGCTTCCCTTTCCCACAACCTGTGAACTTTTAAATGGAACTGGAACTAACCATTGCATTCAGCATTTTCAAAATGTGTTCTGCAGAAAATAGTCCACAAATGCTCCATGAAAAAAAGGGTCCTGTGGTCAAATATCTTCTTAAAATACTAAATCTCTTTCTTGGAGACTGATGAGCATTTGAAAGGCTCTGTAAGGTTCTGCAGTACAGGAACCTGTCTGTCTAGCTGAGCACACCCCCAAAATATTACTACTCCTTACTGTCATTAGTGCTATCACTCCAAAAAACCTTCCTCATTCCTTCAGTCCATTAGCTTCCCTTCCAGCTACCCTTCACTGCTCCGATCCAGCATGTACGCTGTTGTCAATCTCCTGCTAACCCTAAATTCAGAACAGTTTTCTCAGTGGGGGTGGGGGGAACGCTTAACAGAATCACTCAGAATGTTCTAAAAGTATATATAAGCATCTCTCTCCATTTCTAGTCATCCTGTTCCCACACCTCAATCTGATACATTTTAGGGAAAACCGTCTTTTGAAAAGAGTCTCCAGGGGATTTGGATATGCACTCTTCTGGGTTATGAACCATTGTTCCAGTTGCCCTTAACTTCTTTTTTGGGGGGGTCCACAGAAAAATACTGATGGACAAATTATTCTTCATATTTCCAAATGGTCTCTCGTCACTGTTTGACAATTTTTTTTCTTATTGGTTCCCTTTCACACTTTCTTCAGGCCTTTGATACCAATGGCAACCCCTAAAACAGCTGACTGTGACCACGACTTGACTAAGATAACCAACTGTTCTCACCTTTCCCTCCTCTCCTATGCAAAATACCTGCTTCTAATACCTGTTCTCTCTTCCTTCTTTCCAAGCCTCAAAGCAAAAAGTCTCCATCCTTCCTCATTCCTGAGACTAACTTCTACACCTATTCCTTCAAACACATATCCAGATCCCTTTGTTTCTAGCACCTTCAACTTTTCCTCCTTCGCTGGCTCCCTTATCTCTGCCTTAATACAGACACACTTCATCCTATTTTGAAAAACCAACACATGTAACCTTATTGTTACCCCCTTTCAGTGCATATTTTCTGAAAGTAGCTTATATTTTTAATTCCCTGCAGGTTACCTTCACACCCACTATTATCTCTAAATAGCATCCTCAAAAGCTCCAGCAGCCTTGCTAAGGCCTGATTCTTTCTGATCTCTCCAACACGCTCCACACCCTCACTCCTTGTCTTCCATGATGCTGCATCACCTGCATCCTCCTCTTGTTTGGTGCTTTGCAGTCATTTTCACTTTCCACTGCCTAATAATACTCCAAAGGCAGTCTCCCTCCTGTTTTGCAACATAATTTCCCTCAAAGGTTGCATACATTCCTCTGGGCAGAATGACTTCCCAATCTACATCTTTAATCTAAATCTTTGTTCCTAAACCCTAACTCTGCAGCTCCCCTTGCTTGTCACGCTGTCATTTCAAACTCAAAAGCAGCGAACCTCTCTGCAGCCTTGATGGCTCCCCACAGGGCTCCAAAAGTTCATATCCATCTGCCTACTTGACATTGCCTCTAGGATGTTTAACAGGCATCTCAGACTCATCGTGCCCAAAGTAGAACTTGATTTCCACTGCCTTCCTGTGCCCCCAGTTTGAGCCTCTTCCAGTCTCCCTCATTTGGAGATGACACTATGATTCATCCAGTTGTTCAGGCCAAAAACTGATTCGTCATCCAGGGCTGCTGCATTCGATTGTACAGGTTGAGCCCTCCACAAGGATGCCTGGCCAAGTGGGGGTACCTAGCCTGTGCTCCTCTTACCCAGCCATGGTGTCCAGCACTCAGGTACATCTGATGGGAGGAAGGGGCCTTCTTCACACAAACGTGCTGAGAGGTCTGCTATACCGAGAGGCAGAACTAGCTTTTTCTAATTCACACAAACCCACCATATAGACCCTGGGGGTATTCCTTGATTCTATTTCTTTCACAACACACGTCTAGCTCATCAACAAATCCTCTTTGCTCTACCTCTAAAATAGATTTGGAATCCCACCACTTCTCACCACTTCCATTCCTATCGCCCTCGGCTCTGAGACACCACCTTGTCTCACCTGGAGGCCTCCATAGCCTCCTAACTATTCGTCTTGTTCAACTCTGCTGCCACAGGGATCTTTTGAAAACACAGATCGTGGTTTTCCCGGTGGCTTTCCGTCACACCTAGAATAAAATGCAAACTCTTTACCACAGCTATGGGACACGAACTGCTCTCCTCCCTGGTTACGTGTGCGTCTCACTCCCTGCCTCACTGCCCCTCGCAGCTCTACCCCAGCCAGGTGGTCTTCCTGCTGGTCTTCAGGCACTCAGGGCCTCTGCTTGCTGTGTCGCTGCCAGAGACGCTCTTTCCCCAGGGAGTGAAGAGGCTCCCTCTCTCACTTCCTTCAGGTCTCTACTCAAATGGTATCTCAGACTCGAAAACACTGCCTGTTTCATCACTTCTTATCTCTTCCTTTTTCTCTTCAGAGCACTTATCGTTATCTGACACCATATATAGATAGAGATAGAGATAGAGACATAGATAGATATAGATATATACACACTTGTTTCTCATCTCTTTCCCCCATTAAATGTAAGCTCCATGTGGGCAGAGACCTTGTCTTTTCTCTTCCCCACTATAACCCCAGGGCCTACCACACATAAGTGCTCATTAAATATGTTTGACTCAGATCAACACACTGTACACCTTAAACTTATACAATGTTATATGTCAATTATGTCTCAATAAAAAAAAATGTGCTAAATGAATAGTGTCTTCCAAAGCATCAAATATTCAATCTGTTATCACTATTTGGGGATTAAATTGTAATCATTAATTCTTCTACCTCCCTTAACTGCGACATCTTCAAATATCATCACCAAATTTATTCAACCCTCTGAACTGGTGCCTTTGCTTCTAGTCCGTCTTCTGCCCTGCAAAACTTTTCCACATATTTCTAATCATTTGCTCAAAACATTGCTCTGATCACTAAAGGTTTCTCAGCAAGGGTGAGTCAAAAAAAAACCCCCAAGTCATTCTTGATAAAATTTAAATTCTTTAGCCTTTCATTCAAGATTCTTCAGTCTGACTAATTTATTTTTCTCTCTAAACCTTGACAGACCAAAATTGGTCTTACTTTACTGCCCTTGTGTTTGTCTTGGCGTCTGTACTCCCTTCTCTCCTTTTGGGAACAGCTAGATTCCTAATCAAATCCTCCCCTTCTCTCAAGGGCTATCTTGAAAGCCTTTGAAAGCCCTTCTCTCCACACGTCCAGCATCCAGCATTCATTATCCATGTTGCTGGTGCCAGCTGCACAATTTGTGCTCTGTGACAGCATGTGCCAAGGACTCATCAATTAGATACCTTTTCTCCCGCTAGAACCTCACATCTACCTTCTGCTCCAATGAAGCCACAGTATATACTGTTTATTCCCTGAAAGCATCTTTTCTCCTTCCATTTCTCACCACCATGTTATTCTTAACTCCTCCTGTGTGAGCTCTACTCCAGTCTCTTAAATCAGAAGTCATCTTTCTTCTACATTTGCCTCACTATGGCACTATTATACATGGTATAGTTACTTGTGTATCTTATCTCTCTCACTACTCGAGGGAAATCCAGTATTCTGATGTGCATAGCATTAATATATTAACTACCCATAGTTCTTCTTCTTGAAAGTACATTAGTCCTAAGCAATACATCCTTGACCTATTTCAGTGACTGCATGCATGAACTGCCTCCCTTCTGAAAATTCTGAATTTAGACTAGTTTGAAGGTAGTTTGAAGAGATTTTATTATATATAGTATGTATGTATCACTTAGTCACTTAATTCAATATTTCCAAAGTTCTCAAAGAAAATTTCTTATTAATAAGGCCCAAGAAAGGCTGGTTTTAGAATGTAATCACTTTATTCAGAGTATACTAATACTTTGTTCACAAGCATGCTTCAGCTCAAAGAGATAAATATAAA